ACTGGTTCGTACCTCAGGAGAACATCATCGACACCTTCGTGGTGGAGGTGAGGGGCAGGAGCAGGATGGGAGGGCTGTTTTCCTGGGCCTTTGCCTCTGCTGGAGCTGTGGGAGTGGTCAGAGGGAGGAGCTCCATGCCCCTCCAGGATGGGAATGTGCTGGAGGATGGTGCCTCCATCCTGCACCCCGAGTCTCCCCGCAGCCATCCCTGCAACTGGGAGAGCCCCTCTAAGGCTCTGGCCAGGCTTTGTCCCAGCCTGGCCTGTGGTGATGTCGCTTCTGCCTTCCAGAGTGCCCCGGGAGAGGTGACAGACTTCCTGAGCTTTTACACCCTGCCCTCCACCATCATGAACCACCCGACCCACAAGAGCCTGAAAGCTGCTTATTCCTTCTACAACGTCCACACCAAGACGCCTCTCATCGACCTCATGAGCGACGCGCTCATCCTCGCCAAGTCGGTGAGTGCTGGACAAAGCCCTTTTCTGACCCAGAGATGGGGCAACTGAGAGGTGTTTTAAAAGCTTTTACTCCATTTTCTGTCTCATGTGAAAGGTGAGATGTTATAATTCACGCCATCACAATCAGAAGCCAACTATTCCCTAATTACAATACACGATGAGTGTTCCTTGTCTATCAGCTTTTGCCACCCCATGCTGTAAATGCCTTAAAGCCAATCATCTGAAATTACCCCTTGTGAGTTCTACTATGGGAGCCTTCTGTCAGGCTTTGAGAATTGTCTACAAATCCATTTCCCACAGGTGAGGGATGCAGGGATGGGCTGGCACTGTGGGACACTGGGCAGCTCACAGGAACTCACCAGGAAACTCACTGGGCAGCTCACTGCAGGCTGGCAACCCTTGGGTTTGTTGGAAGGACTTGTTCCCAGGAGCTATAGAACTCCAAATCTGAAAGGATCTGCCACCCAGGAGAGGGATACTGGGGTATCTTGAACCTTCCAGCTTGTGGTGGCTCCTCATGTCCTACAGCAAACAGTCCTGTAGTAGTTGGATTGAGGATGAGGACACCAACGCTGAGCTCTTGCCTTTTTCTGGGATTCAAAGCCAGGCAGGAAAGGGGGCCAGGCTGCTCACAGGTGGGAGGAACTCCCCAGCACAAAAGCAGGAACTGACGGCTTCATATCCCCCTGTGCAGAAAGGATTTGACGTCTTCAATGCACTGGATCTCATGGAAAACAAAACCTTCCTGGAGAAGCTGAAGTTTGGGATCGGGGATGGGAACCTGCAGTATTACCTATACAATTGGAAGTGTCCCAGCATGGCACCAGAGAAGGTCAGTGCTGTGAGGAGGGGCCTTGTCCCCACAGCCCTGGGGACAGGGGTGTGCTGTCACCCACACGTCAGCACTCCAGCCCAGCTGGTGTCCTTGCAGCGTCACTCACGGTGATGGGTGAATCCCTCTGCCATCTCCCGTGCCTGCAGAGCGTGTCCCTGGGGAAAACCCCTCCACACTCGTCTTCCAAAGATAATTTTATTCCTGGACTACTGCAGGTTCACACCAACTTCTTCCCTCTAAGGGAGGTGGCGGAGCACAGAGGAGACAGCAGAGGGCTGCAGGGTGACAGACGTGACACCGGGGGTTGTGACAGTCACCTGTGATCCCACATGGGACCCGGGTGTCACTGCACAGCCCTGGGTGTCTGTCCTGGTGGGGTAGAAGGAGCAGCCACCCCTCTGCAGAGAGCAGATAGGCTGGAGCAGGACCTGTGACAAAGGAGCTCTGCCACCACATGTAGGGGGCTGAGCCATGGAGTCCCAGGATGTCATTTGTCCCCAGGGCCAGCAGCCTGTTGCCCCCTGGCTGTGCTGCAGCCCCATCTGCCTGCCTGGGCCATTCTGAGGCAGCACCTGGTTGCTGCTGTCCCTCCACACCAGAGCTGTGATTCAGCACCTGTCCAGTCCACAGCCACCTTGCAGAGGAGGGTGCTTGAGAGCCAGAATCTGCCCAGCTACATCACAGCTAATTAATGCCCTAACAGCTAATTAATGCCTTGACGGCAGTCACAGGGCTTTGGTTCCCTGGTGTGAAGCCAGGTCTTTCTCTGGGCACAAGCCCTGTGCCCTACCAGCCTCACTTGCCTGCTGAACCTCCTAGGAAGCCCCAGGAGGTTCCCAGGAGGTGTCAGCAATTCCTTCTTTTGCTAGGAGAGCTGGGGGAGGGGAGAGCCTGATGCTGGGAATGTTTCCTGTGGAGGGGCTGCCTCTGGGTCCACTGGGTCAGAGTACATGACAGGCCACCAGCACATCCTGGAGGGTGCCCAGCAGTGCCAGCTCCCTGCGGAGAAACATGTCCAGGGACCAGGCTCTTGGGAAGCAGCTTCTCCCATGTCACAGAATCATGAAATTGTTTGGGTTGGAAGGGACCTTAAGAGTACCTTGCTCTACCCCTGCCATGGCAGGGACACCTTCCACTGTCCCAGCTGCTCCAAGCCCCATCCAACGTGGCCTTGGGCACTGCCAGGGATCCAGGGGCACCACAGCTGCTCTGGGCACCCTGTGCTAGAGCCCCAGCCTCACAAGGAGGAATTTCTTCCCAATCTCCCATCTATCCCTGCCCTCTAGCAGCAGGAAGCAGGAATTCCCCCTTGTCCTGTCACTCCAGGCCCTTGTCCAAAGTCCCTCTTGGTGGCCCTTTTGGCACTGGAAGGGGCTCTGAGGCCTCCCTGCAGCCATCTCCAGGCTAAACAACCCCAGCTTGTAGCAGAGGTGTTCCATCCCTCTCTACTCATCATGAGCTGGGAAACATCCTTGGCTCATGAATCAAGGCTGTCTCATAACCTGGTGGGGCTTGTCACACCCCAGACATTGGTCACCTCCCCAGATCAGAGCTGGGCAGGGCCCGTGTGCCCGTTCAGCCCCAAACCCAGGGCTTGCTGTTCCCAAATACCCCAAAACCAGTGGGGAGACCGACACAGAGAGCACGAACCCTCCCAGCTGCATCCTGACAAGGCTGCAGCGGAGCAGAGGCCAGCTGCTGACCCCAATTTCCATTGCTCCCAGGTTGGATTGGTGCTGCAGTAAGGGAGCCCCTGCCAGCAGAGCGTGGAGGAGCCGGGTCTGTGGAAGTGCTGCCCTCATCCTTTCTGCCAAAGCCAGACCCACACCGGGAGAGGGGCACCGGAGCCGCCCCCGCTGCTGTCAGCACCTCCTCGTTTGATTTAACTGCATCCTCCTAAAGACATGGTCGAGGGAATGTAACTGCTGACACTAGATCATGATTGGCATATAATGGATTTAACGGGTGAATAATAAAAGTATATATTATATATATTTTAAATCTTTCCTGTTCCCAACTGCCATGAGTTACATTCAGCTGCTGAAGGTCGCCACTGGGCTGCTGGACTGGGACTTCTCTCCGTGGGGACAACTGAGGTTGATGCTGTGGCAACGTGGTGGCTGCTGGCCAAACCCTCCTGCCCGCCCCGAGGGCGCTTCAGGCTCTCCCCTGCTCGGCTCTTTGCCCCCTCCGTTAAACACGGTCCCTCCCCGCGGGCTCGGAGCACGTCAGGATTCCTTTCCAAGGGCTATTTGTGCAAGTGATGCCTTGTCCCACCTCCTGCCCAGCCACGGAGACTCCAGCCCTTCCTGCTGGACGCTGAACCGAGGGCAGCAGTGCCCGAAGATCCGGGGGTTCCGCTCTGGAGCGAGCCAGGCTCACCCCGCTCTGCTCGGGCTCCTGGGGCTGCCTCCCCTCAGCCTCCCCCGTGGGGCTGCGGGCACCGGGGGATGCTCCGCTGCCACTGCCACCCCTCCAGCCTCTCTGCTCAGCTGCTTTTCTCTGGAAGCATGGAAATCCGGATACTCCATCGGCATCGCCCCGGGGGCCTCGGCCTCCCCGGTGCCTGCAGCGCCAGCCCCCAGTGTCGCCTCGTGTGGGATCCGAGAGAAAGGAAACGTTTTCATGGAAAACCAACATCCCATCGAGGAGTGCCCGGACAGCCTCCTGCCACGTCCTGAACCCAGAGCTCCGAGATGCTCCTGCCCGCCCAGCCAAAGGTTTCCAAAGCTGCACACCAAGGCCAAGACCCCGTCTATGCACCCTCACGCCTCCCTGTCCTCGCGTGTCCCTGTCACACCCCGTGGCAGCACGGACGCTGAGAGCCTGTGCCCGCCCCAGCCTGGACCTGTGGGGCCTCAGTGGGGACCAGGAGCCCATCACATCCCCCCTGCCCGGGGTCCTGTGTCACCTATGCAAGTACCTCTGTGTCCCCTCCTGTGTCTCTGTTGTCCTGAGCTAGGGGAGGCTGGGTGTGGGTGGGGAACACCCCTTGGGACCCTCCCCCTTGTCCCCATGGCAGGTTTGAGGGCTGCTCCAATGAATCCCCCCAGCTTCCATGGATGCCTGGCAGCTCCCCCTGGCACTGCTGATTTGGGGGTGGGCTCAGCCCTGATCCACCCACAACGGGCCCCAGAGGGTGACAGGGACACTGGGACAGGCTCTGTTAAAATAAAACCTTTATTTGACTGGCTTGATCGCGAGGTGTAAATCTGTGACTGTCACTGGTGCCAGAGCAGAGGTTGGCCATGTGTCCCCACCTGAGCACAATGGAGTGTGTGGTGGCAGGGTCCCCTCAGGAACTCCAGCGTGATGATGGCACCATCATTGCATCCCAAGAGAGGGGCTGGGATCAAGCGTGGCCAAGACTGATGAGATTTGGTGGTTGCTGTCACCCATGTCACCCCTGTGGGGCTGTGCTGGGCTGTCATTGGCCCAGTCAACCCATCCTGATTGTCACAACATCTCTGTCCCCTCGAGGAGAGGAGTGGGGCACCAGCAGACTGGGTGGCACTGGGTAGCAGGGAGGGGAGCCCCCACCGCCCCTCTGGGTGCTCCCAGCCCTGCTGTCACCACAGAAGGCGAGCGCTGTCCTCGGGCTGTCCCCACGCAGGGTGCCCACCCGCGGAGGAGCCTGCTGTCCCCCACATGGAGATGCAGCGTCCCCCCATGGGCACCTCGGGCCCCGGTTGTCCCTCCTGCGACCCTCACAGGCTCTTGGACCGAACGTGCACGAAGAGCGTGGCGGGGGACAGGGACGCCCCGTCCCTGGAGAGCAGGTGGATGTGGCGGTACCCTGGGGACACACGGGGCTCAGCGGGTGGCAGGGGCTGTCCCCGTCCCCGGAGGGCAGCGGGGCGGCGCCCGCACCCACCTTGGCGCATGCTGGGCAGGGGCAGCGTGAACTGCCCCACGAAGTCGTTGCAGGAGGTGCTGTCGTAGTCCTCCACCACGAAGCGCACCAGGGCCAGCTCGGGCGCCCGCACCTGGAACCGCAGCGTCTCCTCCCAGCGCGGGTTGAAACCTGCGGCACCGGGTGGGGCTGGCTGGGGCCACCGCGGCCACCGGGGCCACCCCGCGCCCCCCAGGGACCCGCGGGACCCCCGGCACTGCCCCTGCCCCGGCTGAGCTGCCGTGCTGCACTGGGGGGTGCTGGGGCCACAGTGGGATGTACTGGGGAAATGGGGGTCATACTGGGGGCCTGGGGGTCATGCTGGAACCATGATGGGGTGTACTGGGGAAAAGGGGGTCATACTGGGGCTGTGGTGGAGTGTACTGGGGGAATGGGAGTCATACTGGGGGAATGGGAGTCATGCTGGGGCCATGATGGGGTGTACTGGGGAAAAGGGGTTCTGCTGTGGCTGCAGTGGGGTGTAGTGGGGGAACAGATGCCATACTGGGGGAATAGGGGTCATACTGGAGCCATGATGGGGTATACTGGGGAAAAAGGGGCCATACTGGTACTGGACTGGGCTATACTGGGAGAATGGGGGTTGTACAGTGGCTGTGATGGAGTACACTGGAGGGATGGGATCATACTGGGACTCTGATGGGATGTACTGGGGGAATAGAGGTTATACTGGAACTGGGCTGGACCATACTGGAAGAATGGGGGTAACACTGGGCTGTGGTGGGGTATACTGGGGGAATGGGGGTACCACTGGGGGAATGGGGATCATACTGGGCTTGGGCTGGGTGTACTGGAGACCATAAGGGAGCAGCACTGGGAGAACTGGAACATGATGGACTCTGCCACTGGTGAGGGTCTGACTGTGCTGGGGAGGGGACACTGTGGTGTGTGGAGGGGACTGGGGTGTCCTGGGCGCTGGGGTGTCCTGGGTGCTGGGGTGTCCTGGGTATTGGGGTGTCCTGGGTATTGGGGTGTCCTGGGCGCTGGGGTGTCCTGGGTGCTGGTTCACTGGCAGTGAGTGCTGGGCTGTGGGTACCCCAGGCGCTGTCCCTATTAGGGTGCCCCTGGCATCAAGGTGTCCCTGGATCAGGGTGCCCTGGGGTGTTCCTGGGGACCAGGTGTCCTGAGGGACCCTGGGTGTCCTGAAGCACCCCTGGAGATCGGGTTCCCTGGGGTGTCTGCAGGGATCAGGGTGCTCCAAGGGACCCTGGGGACCCAGCTGTCCTTGGGCATTCCTGGGATTTGGGCAGTGATAGGGCTGTGAGAGGTAATAGGTAATGGGATGTGCCTCGGGGTCGGGGTGCCCTGCAGTGTCCCCATAGTGCCCAGGGGTGTCCCCGGGGGTGCCAGGTGCCAGCACTCACCGTTGTTGAGCTTGTGGTGGGTTTGTTGCTTGGCGCAGTCGGCCGGGATCCCGTGGATCTCCACGCGCACGAAGGGGTCCACGATGGAGCTGCCCTTGTCCCTGTTGAGCTTGGGCAGCTGCTGTGCTGTGATCACCTGTGGCACAGGCACCACCAGGGGCCCGGCAGATGTGGGTGTGGGGAAAGGACCGGTGGCCCCAGCAGGAGGGACGTGGGTGGCACTGGCTGGGGCTGGGGACACGGTGAAAGCAGGGAGGTGGCTGATGCCACTCTGGCTGACACCAGCTGGACTTGGGGACAGGGTTGGTGTCGCTCAGGAGAAGTGGCACAGGGAGGAGTGTGGGTGGGATGAGGAGGAGGGGAGGTGGCTGGTGCCATCCAGGGGAAGGGACACAGGTGGCACATGGCTGGGGACAAGGTGGTGTCCCCAGAAGGGAGCAGATGGCACCCAGCCGGGAGTGGGGATGGGGTGAAGAGGAGGGAGGTGGTTGGTACCACACAGGAGAAGGAACATGAGGGACATGTGGCTGGGTCCTCAGGAGAAGGGACGTGGGTGGCACTTGGCTGGGACTGAGGATGGAGTGGGGAGGAGGGAGGTGGCTGCTGCCATCTCAGAGAAGGGACATGCCTGACACCAGCTGTATTTGGTGACAGTGTTGGTGTCACCCGGCAAAAGATGCAGGTGGCACCTGGCCAGGCATTGGAATGCCACGGGTGTAACCCAGGAGGGAGGTGGGTGGCACCAGCCAGGCCTGGGGACAGCTCGGGGGTGTCCTCACCCTGATGTGCAGAGCCAGGCGCCGGGACCCCTCGCCGGGGGGGCTGCGCAGGCAGAGGGGCTTCAGGACGTAGCCGCAGCGGCCGTTGGCCAGGAAGCGCCCGGCGTTCAGGTCCATCTCGTAGCCCGGCGTCTGGAAGTTGAGGGCCACTGCGGGGCCGGCGGGACGGGCTGTCAGGGGGGTGACGGCTCCAGGGGTGGCTGCCAGGTCGGGGGGGCCCGGGGGTCTCACCCAGCTGGCAGCCAGCGTTCCACATCTCCTGGGGGTTGTAGTTGGCGGAGTTCATCTTGAGCCCCAGCGGGTACACGCGGCTGAGCTGGCGGGCGTTGTACCGGACCAGCGCCGGGCCTGCGGGGGGACACGGCTCAGCTGCACCCCCAAGCGCTGCTGGGGGCCCAGCAGGGTGGCATGGGACCTTGAACCCAGACCCTGGGGTTCAGACCCCAAACCTGGACCTGGACCTTGGACCCCTGACCCCGACCTCTGACCCCTGATCCTGATCTCGACCCCACACTTTGACTTTAGACCCTTGACCCCAGATCTTCACCATGGAACCCAGACCCTGACCCCAGATCTTGACCCTGATCCCTGGACCTCAGACTCCAAACCAAGACCCCCAAGCCTATGCCCTGACCCAGATCCCAATCCTTCACTCCAGACACTGACTCTGGCCCCACACACTGAGCCTGGACCCCAGACCCTGAACACTGACTCAGATCTTAACCTCAGGCCCTGACCTAAATTCTGACCCTGACCCCCAGCCCTTACCCAGATCTCAGTTCTTGGACTCTGGCCCAGACCTTATTCCCAGCCCCAGGCCCTGGACCCAAATGCCACATCCTAAATCCTGATCCCAGACCCTGGTCCTGTTTGTGTGACCCCAACCCTGGCCTCTGGCCCCAGGCAGGTCCTGCCACCAGCCCCCAGTGTCACCCATCCAGAGCAGCCCGGGTGAGGCCAGCGTGAACCTGGCCACTCCTGGGGCCCCCTAGAGACAGAGCCCATCACTCAGCCCATCCTGCATCCCGGTGACTCGGGAGTACGGAGCCACCCCGTCCCCATCCCTGTCCCTGTCTGGTGGCCCTCACCTGCCTCCTTGATGAGCTTCCGTGCCTTCCTCTCGCTGAAGGAGGACACCTGGCAGGGCTGGGGGTGGCGCAGGGCCTGGGCCAGCCCGGGGAAGGGGACAGCCTGGCAGTACACCACCAGTGCCGACAGCTCTGGGGACACCTGCGACGCGTCCTTGGCCTGCGGGAGCCACCGTGGCATCAGGGACAGCCTGGCCCTGGTGGCCACCTGCCAGTCCGGGGGTCTGCAGACCCCCACCCACTAGTGCAGAGTGCTGAGACCCCCAAGGCCATGGAGACCCTGATGCCCTGGAGACCCCAGGGTGGTGCAGAACCTGAGGCAATGGAATGATGGACCAGGGGCTGATGGGGAGCCCAAGCAGGTTGAGAACTGGAAGTCATGGAGACCCCCAGAGGATGGACAGCCCAAGATGTACAGACCCCAAGATGAGGGAGACCCCAAAGTGCTGGAGAACCTGAGGTGATGGGCACCCCGAGATGATGGAATACTTGAGGGGACAGAGACCCCAAAGTCATGCCGACCGCAACAGGTCACTCTGGATGTGATGAAAGCCCAACACAATGGAGAACTCGAGGTGCCAAGAAATCAAAGTATTGGAAACCCCAGACACAGGCCACCCAGCCCAACAGGAAGAGGGAGGCACAGCTGAGGGGTCCCCAAGCTCTGTCCCCTCTTCCAGGCAGTGACAGCCCCTCACTGCTCCCACAGCCCCCCCAGCTCCAGCCCATCACCCACCTGCAGAGGTTTGATCTCCTGCAGCGACTGCAGCGACTGAAAGAGGAGAGAGCAGGGCTGCAGAGGCCGTGGCAGAGCTGGCAGTGCTCAGCTGGGACAGTGCCAGGATGCCATGGGCCCCTGGCACCACCAGGATGCTCTGATCCATCAGGACCACAGGGATGCCATGGTCCTCCAAAACCACATCCCTGGGGAAGTCTCTTACCCGCCGGGGGCTTCTCTCCTTCACCTTCTCCTCCTCTTCTTCCTCCTCCTCCTCTTCCTCCTCCTCGGGGTCCAGAAGGAAGGGGACACCCTGTGACTCCTGCCACAGCTCTGGCAGCTTCTTGCCCTTCACCAGGATCTTTTCCTTCAGCTGCTACAGAAGGCAGGTTCGAGCTCAGGGTTTGGAGGGGACCTGGGGACGCTGCGGTGGGCACACGGGTGGCCTTACCTCTGGTGAGGGGAGGTGGTGGGGGTCCTGCCCCTGCAGGGGCTGTGTCAGCAGCCTGTCCCCCAGGATGGCCCTCATGTGCCGGGCCATGGTGGCCTGCTGCTCCAGCCCGCAGTGGTTCTCCAGGGACAGGATGACGGGGTAGGGGGATTTCTGGGCATGGGGACGGGCAGCCCTCAGCACCCGGCACCCCACACCTGGCACCGGGCACCCCACACCTGGCACCGGGCACCCCACACCGGCACCGGGCACCCCGGGGCTGCCAGCCGCTCTCACCTCGAAGGCGGAGTCGCGGATGCTCTCGATGACGTCGCGGAAGAGGATTTTGGAGGTGAGTGTGTGGCCGTGGTACACCACGGGCTCCCCGTCCGAGCCCTCCCAGCAGTCCAGCTCCACGCAGCGGCACCCTGCCCTCAGCGCCCTGCCACCACAGGGCACCAGCTCAGTACCTGCCACCCTGGGGCCACGGGACCCTCTGGGGCTCCGCGGCACCGGGGACACGCACCTGGCATAGGCCTCGGTGCTGCTGGCGCCGCCGATCTGGTTGCGGGTCAGGTAGGTGTTGTGGGAGGAGGAGATGAAGTAGTGGCTCAGGGGCTGGCTCATGTCCTGGTGCACCTCGGTGTGCTCCTGGTTGAGGATGTCACCGGCAGCCGAGAGCAGGTACATCATGAAGCCGTCCAGCATCATCAGGTCCTGCCGCTTGGCTGCGGGACGCGGTGGCAGAGAGGTGTCACTGGGGTGGCATGGTGCCAGCAGGGTGGCACCCTGAGAACTTCCCCCACTTGGAGGTCCCAGCAGCACCATGCTCACCCCTGACCTGGCGCTGTGGGACCCAGGGGATGTGTAAGTTCCCTCGAGTGTCCCATCTCCACCCTGATGTCACTCATCCTGCTGGTGCCACATTCACTCTGGATGTGGCATGGTGACACCCATGAAGTGTGGAGGTTCCCTGTCCCCACCCTGATGCCCTCTGTCCTCCCAGTGCCATGTCCCCCCAGACCTGGCACTGTGGCACTCAGGGGAGTCCCTTTTTTCTCCCATCTCCCATCTGATGTCCTCCATCCTCCTAGTGCCACATCTGCCTTAGGGGTACTACTGTGACATGGAGGTCCTTCATCCCCACCACGATGTTCCCCGTCCTAGTGCTGTGCTCAGTCTGGACTGCCATGGTGGGACCTGAGGAAGACAGAAGTCCCTCGGCAGTGTCACATTCATAGCAGAGCTGGCATCACACCACCCATGAGATGTGGAAGTCCACCTGCTGCCCATCCCCACCTTCACATCCCTGTCACATCCACCAGGTGCCAGCCAGGCCATGTTTGGATGGCAAACACTGGGAATGGGCATGAGTGAAACGTACACTTTAAGGAATTTAGAGATTTTAAAGGAGCTAAGATTTTAGTTAGAAATAAGCCTTACTAGAGTTAATTAAAATAATAATAAATAAGTAGGCCTTGATGAAGTTAGGAGTTAGTAGTTAACTAATAATTGATTGCTTGTCAGCACAATGTTTAGTTAGCTGGGTTTATAATGAAGAATACACAAACTGACAAATTGCTTTTAGGAACATAAGACAGTTGTGGGCCTCCTCTGTTCTGAAACCAATTGAAGACAAGGAATGGGAGTTCTACCAAGAATTCATTTGTCACATTTGCATTGAAAAGGTAGAAAGGTCAGAACGAGGAAGACTTCATTGACTTCCTCATTTTGGGACCCCTCCCCATGAAAGGGACACCGACCCATTTCAAGGGACACTCTACGCATGCTGAATGGCTTTTGGAGTGATTAGCATACGAAGCGGGGAATGAGATGTACCAAAATGATGAATATGTATTTCTATTATGAGTATTCAATACTTCTATGGATAAAAGGGCTCTGTAATCACCTGGAAGCTGCGGTGTGGATTTGGGAGCGATCCCACACACAATAAACACACACTTTCTAACTTTAAACTGCTAGAGAGTTTTTGTCCATCACAGTTGGATATCAGTACTAGATCAATATCCATATTTTTTTAATAAATCATCAGGACACTGATAGAAGCCTTGGAGGGCCCCATTTTGGTTTGATGGGGATGATGCCACCATCAGAGCCCCATCCCTACGTCCACGCGCTCCCGTGCCCACCCCACGATGTCACACCCTCAGCCTACCCTTCTCGTTGAGCTCGTAGGTGCGGATGATGGCGCGGGCCTGGCGCAGGCTGCACTCCTCGCCCTGATCCCTCAGGAAGTCCTGCAGCTCCTCGGCCGACAGCACCCGGTCCTCGCCCGAGTACCGCCCGAACAGCTCCTCCAGCTCGGGCCGCCGCAGCAGCCGCCGGCAGAACTCCTCCAGCTCCCGGCCCTCCAGCCGCTCGTTGCCCGAGCGGTCGCACTCCTGCGGGGACAGCCCGGCCTCGGCGACTGTCCCCTCCCTGCCTGCTCTGCCCGTCCCTGGAGCTGGCAGTGTGCGTGGGACCAGCCTGGGGGGCTCAGCCGCTGTCCCCTCTGCTCCCCCAGCCAGAACCCTCTGACCCCCCTGCTCTGGGATGGAGCAGAGCAGAGCTCCGTGCCTCAGTTTCCCTAAGTGGAAAGGGATGCCCAGAGGAACAGCTGTCCCACCTTGGGGACACACGGAACAGCGGCTGGGACAGCTCAGCCCACCTCAGCCCTCTCCACCATGTGCTCCTGGTGGGACCCAGCCTCTGGTGGCTTTGGTGTGAGGAGCCTGGCAGTTCTCTGTGCTGGGGAGGGCAGAGAAGGAGCCGGCAGCGGGCACGGCCAGCCGTGCAGCACAGGATGGGTACCTTGAAGAGCTTGGAGGCGTAGACATCGTCCATGTCGATGTTGAGCATCCTCAGCATGCTCTTCACCTCCCGGAAGGACATCTTGTTGTCCTTGTTCCTGTCTGCTCGCTGCAGGACCCCGTGGATCCAGCTACAGCGGGGTAAGGAAACCTCCCGGCATCACCCGCAGCCGTCCCCACCCTGTCCCCAAGCCCCCAGAGCCCTCAAAGGATACTGGTCGAGCTTCTCCATCTGGCTCATGGCCTGCAGCCGCGCCATCAGCTTGGTGAGCCCCTGCACCCAGTGCCGGGCGTCCTCCTCGGCGCGGGCGGCCAGGTCCAGGTTCTTGCGGCGGCCCTTGAGGGCCAGGCTGAAGCAGTGGCGCTCGGGGAAGGCGGCTCCGTGCTTGCGCAGCCCCTCCGACTGCCGGCCCTGGCGCAGCCCCTCGATGTGCGCCACCGAGACTGCGGGACACGCCGGGTGGGGGACCGTGGACGGGCTGCCTCGGCGGGGCACCCACCCGCCAGCATCCTGCGAGGCGCCCCGGCTGCCCACGGGCGCCCCAGGGCCGGGCTCAGCCGCTAATCCCCGGCCAGACGGGAGCCGCGGCCGCCGGCCCTGCGGGGACGCTGCCAGGGGATGGAGCCGCCATCCCTGAGCGGTGCCAGCTCCAGGCACCCATCCCAGATGAGGGGGGAAAGAGCCGGGTGACGCCGGGGAGGGGGACAGAGTCTGGCCGGGATGGAGACGGGACCTTGTGCTGACCCCGATGGGATGGGGAGGGGTGGGGGGGCTCTCACAGCTCCGCACGGGGTGTACTGGGAGGCACTGGGAAAGGCTGGAAGGCTCTGGGAGCCACGGCGTGAAGGGGGCTGGAGTTCAGGTATTGGGTGGGGGTCCTTGTTCTGGACTGGATTCACAGTTCAGGTGAGGGCTTGGGATGCAGGATTGGGGTCTGGGTGCTGGGTGGGGATCAGGGTCCAGTCACAGGTGGGGATCCAGCAGGGATCTGGGTCCCAGGGGGCATCTGGGGCACAATCCAAACCCTACCATCTGGGTAGGGTCAGAATTGTGGAATTCCATGTCCCAGGATTGGGTCTGGCTCTCGCTGGGGGATCTGGGTCCTGGGTTGGGGTCTGGAACTCAGGTGGGGTCTGGGGTCTGAGTGGGGATCCAGGTCTTGGGTGGGGGTCTGGGAACTGGGCTGTGGTCAGGATCCAGGTGGGCTTCTGGATGCTGGGAATGGATCTGGGTCCTGGGTGGGGGTCCAGATCCTGGGATAGGGTCTGGATTCCAGGTGGGGGTCCTGGGTTGGGGTCTGGGTCCCTGGTGGGGGCCCAGGGGTGGGTCTGGGGCACCGCCCAGCTCCTGCCCTCCCTGCAGCTCGCGGCAGTGCAGCTGTGTCTCGGTGTCCCCGAGCCCCACGGGCAGCGCAGCACTCACAGCTCTGGGGGGAGCGGGCGCGCCGGAAGCGTCCCTCGAAGCAGACGGTGACCCCGTCCTCCTGCAGGCGGAACAGCCGCGCCCTGGAGCCCCCCCGGGCCTTCACCTTCCACAGCAGGGACCCCTGCAGCATCCGCTGCACATCCTCATCCTCCGTCAGCCCTGCGGGGACAGCCCTGGGCTACCGGGGGCACTGGGGGCTCCAAGGGTGTACTGGGGGGGGAACGGGCTGGGGGGGATCCGTGCACATCTGGGTGCACATCTGTATCTGACGGATGGCACGGGACAAATGGGACAGGACAGACGGGATGGGATGGGATGGGATGGGATGGGATGGGATGGGATGGGATGGGATGGGATGGGATGGGATGGGATGGGATGGGATGGGACGGGATGGGACAGGACGGGATGGGACAGGAATGGGTTGGAATGGGACAGGAATGGGTTGGAATGGGACAGGACAGGCAGGAGAGGACAGACAGGACAAGCCATTGCCCTGGCCCCCTTTGGAGCACAGTGTAGATGTTCAGGGGATCAGGGCACAGCATTGACACAGCCCAGCTGCTAAATCCCAGCAAAGCTGCCCAGATCCTGCATGGAGAGTGCCAGGACGGTGCCAGCAGCAGAGCTCAGGCTGCAACAATGACAGGCTGGACTCGGGGGACTCGCGGGCCCACGCCTCAGCCAGGATTTTTCCATCTGTTCACGGAGTGGTTATTTCCTCCCTTTAATGTTTTGGCAGCCATTCCTAAGATCTCCAGTGGCCACATCCTGCTCTGCATGGAGATTCCACTCCTGGCCTGGGAAAGGGTGGCTGGGGGCTCTGGGGACATCCTGAGCCACTGTGGCCTCGGGGGTGAAGCCACCAGCACCTCCTGCATGGTCTCATCCTGCCCAGGGTGCAGGCATGGGGACATGGCTGCACGAGCATGGGGCTGCAGGGATGTAGGAACACGTGGATACAGGTCCATGGGCACAGGGATGGGCACATGGAATGTCAGATCTGTGGGCACAGGGATGGACATGTGGAATATCAGATCCATGGGCACAGGGATGTATGGGCATATGGATACAGGTCCATGGGCACAGGGATGGGCACATGGAATGTCAGATCTGTGGTGTGTGGTACACAGACACAAGGATGTGGATGCATGGATATAGAGCTGCAGGGATGCATGGATCTGCTGATGCAAGGACAGAGGAACACACGGATATTCAGGTAGGTGCATGCACAGGTGTGTGGATGCATGGATGCATGGATGCATGGATGCATGGATGCACGGATGAGGCACATATGGGTGCATGGACACAGCTGCTTGGTCACACAGAGCCACAGGGGCACGTGGACACGGGGATGCACTGCCAGATGGATGCAGGGATGCATGGATCCACAGGTGCATGGATGCACTGCTGCCAGGACACGCAGACATGGGGCACGTGGGTGCACAAGCACTGGGATGCATGGGCAGTCAGACACATGGACATGCGTGGACACGGGTGGGTGCTCCCAGACACAGCCAAGGGAAGGCATGGACATGCAGGAGCCGGGGGGTAGGGACAGATGGACACATGGATGTGTGGATGTCGAGGTGCAGGGACAGACGGGTGCAAGGACACACAGCCACAGGGACACACGGACACGCAGAGCTGCAGCAGCTCCAGGCACACGGCCCCGTGTCCAGAGCTGGGGGCACAAGGGCAGCCGTGCCCTTCCTGCCGCTCCCACTCCGGACCAGCCGCTCCCAGGGACCCACCCTGACCTTGCCGGGCACCCACTGCCCCTGCCTGGACTGCTGAGCCCCGTGTGCCCACTGTGCCATGGGCAGCACCCCTGCTGGGGAAACTGAGGCAGGGTGTTGGGCGGGCTCCCAGGGAATGGGACGTGAGCTTGGGGACAGTAAAAGCCCTGAGCAAGGGAGCTCCTGTCACCTGTGATGTGGCCAAACCCCGACCCCGCTGTCCCCCATCGGCTGGGGCACGCACGGCTATTTTGGGGTGGCCCCGGGGACCCCTCCCGTCCCGGGGGAGCCCTCCCTGCTGGGGGGACCCCTCCACCTCGGGGACCCTCCCGAGCAGGGGGACCCTGCCGTCCCTGGGGACCCACCCCAGCCCTGGGGGCCCTCACCCTGCCCTGGGGACCATTCCCGTCACAAGGGTCCCCACCCGCCCCGGGGACCCCCCGGGCACGGAGATCGCTCCGGGCCCCTCTGGCCCGGCCGGACGGAGTTTCTGCCCGGTTCCCCCGGGACTCACCCATTTTCTTCAGGGCTCTCCCGGGCCGGCGGGAGCCCCCGGCGCCTTCAGCCGGGGCGCGGAGCTGCTCGGCGGCGGGACGCGCCCTCCTGCCGCAGATCATGACGGGGACCCCGGCACCGCCGGTGCTCCCGGTGCTCCCGGTGCTCCCGGTGCTCCCGGTGCTCCCGGTGCTCCCGGCGCTCCCGGCGCTCCCGGGACCGCGGTGCTCGTGGTGCTGCGGGTGCCGCAGGTGCCCCCGGTGCTCCCGGTGGTTCTGTTTGTCCCGGCACGCCCGGTGCCCCCGGCCGGTGTAACCGGGCTGGGCGGTGGCGGAGGTCGGGCTGGGGCTGGGCGGCCGGGCCGTGACCGGGGCCGGCCGCCGGGAGGGACCGGGAGGAGCCACGCCGCAGCCCGGCCGCTGTTAACCGTTTGTGCCGGCCCGGGGCGAGCGGGCTCCGGTGCTGACCGGGGCCGCTCGGGATGGCGCCGAGCTACGCGGGGCCCGCTCTGCACCGCGGCACCGGGACCCGGCGGGTCCCGACGTGCGCCCGGTGTTCGCTCTGTGCCCATGGGCCGGCCCGACCCCGGACACGCCGCTGTCCCCCGCGGGTCCGCCTGCACCGGGCACCGGCCCCGGACCGCACCGGGCACCGGCAGGGACCCCGGGGCACCCCCTGTGACTGTGGGGTCACAGTCCCGCCGTGCCAGCCTGGCCCGGCCCAGGGCTGGGTGGCACCGGGCAGGGGCCGCGGGCCGGTGCCGGGACCTCCGGGTGAGCTCCGGGTGAGCTCCGGTGACCGTCCCCGCCGGGGGACACCGGGAGGGGCGGCAGCGGCAGCTGGGAGGTGCCAGGACTGGAGCAACACGTGTGTGAG